TTTTTTTTTACTTTTTCACTATATTTTCAACTGCCAAGAATATCAAGACACACGTAGAACACACAATTATCAGTATTTCTTCTTTTAAGGAGTTAAAGATAATTGTGATAAAGGTTGCTTTTTTATTTATATTTTTATTTATTTTTTCACTGTCTTTTTCTTCAATAGAAGCATAATTTATTCTGTATCTATCTAAACTACATAATTTTGAGATGGTGCATAACTGCCCGCTGGAGATTACAACATAGTCCCACTTAATCAACCATGCTTTTGATACTCCCATGCAAATGAATTTAAAAACAAAATCAATAATTAGAAGCATGTGGTGTAGAAGAAAAATTCATCTACTGAAATAAAACCAAACAAACCTAATTCTCACATAGAGAGAATCAAACACTCCAATAATATATAAGAGAAAATAGAGATGGCCACGAGCTCCAACTCGGCATGGGCCCGGCCCCATCAAGTCGTTGACCACAGATTTGGACCCGCATCATATTTCAACTGGACCGATTCAGGACCATCACGTCCCGACCCGACATGAGCCTAGATAAGGGCCAGTTCTAGATCATCATTTCGAACTCGGAGGCCCGCTGGGCTGGGCCGAACCCAAGACTTACCCGGGTTTTGGCCATGAGAATATAGCAAAACACAAAAACAAACAACATGAAAAAAAAAAGAAGAAAAAAAAAAACACAAAACAAATCCTAAACACTAACTAGAGTAGAATAAACCATGGCCCCCTTATCAAAGAGAAAATAAAAGGAAAGGAAAAAGAAAAGCAAGAAAATATGATGGGTACTTCTTTACTTTATTTTGCAAATTTGTTTACTTTATAATAAAATTTATGGAATGTACCCAAAATAAAATAAAATAAAATAAAATTATGGAGTTTATAAATACTACTTCACCCCTCAACATTCCCACTCAAAAAACCAACACAAATTTCCACTGCATCACACTCTCAAGTTTCAACTCTTGTGCACTGCAAATTATACTCCCAATTTTCATTTCATTTTTATTTTTGTTTTTCTGAAATTAAAAAAAAAAAATAAAAAATGATCATCATCTTCATCACAGTCCCTCTGTACTCTCTCTTCAAGCTCAAGGATGGAGCCAAAACCTCAATCCACCATAACAATCTCTCGTGAAAATCGCCCAGTCGATCAAAGGAGCTTCAAACTTCTATTAAATCACATACGCAAATTTCCCCAAAAAAATAAAACCGGAAAAAGGGAAAAAAATTAAACAATATGGATTCGTTCAAGTTTTACGACGCGAGAGCAGAGAAATCGAACGCGATTCTGAGGCACCGGAGATCGCGGAGGTTCACGGCCGTGTTCCGTTGCCTCGAGCTGCTCGTTTTCCTCCTAATCGCGTCCAGATTCTCGACTCGGTTCACCTTCGATCTGAATCTGTCGGCCGCGTGCTTCAGGGGGATTTCGGTGACTCTAATCAGCCCGAGATTCGTGTTCCTCGTCGGGAACGCGATCGTCGTCGCCTTGTTCCTGATCTCTGGCCGGTTTTCCGGCGGCGGCGGGGCCGTGGATTTCTACGAAGAGTACGCGGGAAGGTCGCGGAGCAGTCGGCGAAAGGTTCGGGAGGAGGAGAGGAAGGAATTGGGCGGCGCGCGTGTGTACGGCGTAGTTGGTGGTGGGAGGAGGATGGGAAGGTGCAGATCTGAGGTTGTTGAGAGGGAAAAGTGGCGGCGGGATCTGAGGCGGAGCGCGAGCGAGAAGTGCCGGAAAAGCGGAGGAGGCGGCGAGTGCGGGCGGAGGGCGGCGGAGGGTGGTGGCGGCGGTGGTTCGTACAAAGAGGATGAGATGAGCGGCGAGGA